TGTTGTTAATGAACAACTGGAATGACTAACAAGCTGGAAGTCCACTGCCTTCAATAAAACATGATGAGTGAACCTGGCTGAGGCAGCCCTCGGGTAGTTGATACCAGAGAACATAGATAAGGGTCATGAAATGATATGAAATCACTGGGAGCCAGGTGGATGATCATATGTCCTGGGAGGGGAGGATCTGCTTCAGCATTTCTGCACACAGACCAGTGCATCTGGTTACAACACGTGGGGAGCGTGTTTTTCAATATCACACACTTTTAGAAATCTTGTAAAACTCTGAACCCCTCTACAAAGTGAAATGAATCCAAATATTCAGACTTAAAAGTAACTGACTTCTTTCAAAATGTCCAATTAGACATTGAATTCCTTTTAGGTGTCTGTAAAAACTACCACAGCACGGGGTGGGTGGGGGTGGGTAGAGATTTCTAACTCTTACCTCTTAGTAATGGTAACTGAGTTTTAGCTAGGTACATGATAGCACAGTTCAAAGACTCTATCTCCTGGCTTCCCTTGGTAAGTTGTGGTCATGTAACACAGTTCATTGGGATGTTAGCAGAAGTGATGTGTTCAAAGTCCAGTTTATGCCCTTAAAAGAAAGGATTTGCCTTCCACTGCTTTCCCCTCTTTCCCACTGGCTATCATATGAATATAATGGAATGAGCTGGAACAGCTATTTTAAACCACAAGATGAAAGCTGCATGTAGAGAATTTCACAGCAAGAAGACTGTATGAGGCTGAGTCCCAGATACCATAGAGCTACCATATCAGCTGTGTCATAGTTACACTCAATCTGAAACATGAGAGAAAAGAAGCCTTCTATTTTATCTTCTTTTTGTTTTTATTTTTTATTTTTATAGTTGCATTGAGGTATAATCAACAAAAACAAATTGCACATATTTATGTATACAATTTGATAACTAGGGGCATATGTATACACACATGAAGCCATACAATCAGGAAACAGAACACACACTTCCCTCACAAAAGTTTCCTTGTGCCCCTTTGTAACATATCCCTCCATGACCACCACCATCCCCAATCAACCAGCAATCTGCTTTCTGTCACTGTAGATTGCATTTTCTAGAATTTTGTACAAATATTATTATGGAGTATGCATTTTTTGCCTGGCTGTTTCATTTATAATTATTTTGAGACTTATCCATGCTTTTGCATATATCATTAGTTTGTTTTTATTAGTAGTATTCTATTGTATGTATATGCCACAGTTTGCTTATCCATTATGGACTTGTGAGTTGTTTCCAGTTTAGCTTTGGGCTATTACAAAGCGGCTGTGAATATTTGTGTACAAGTCTTGGGTTAAGACATGCTTTTATTTCTCTTGCGTAAATAACTAGAAGTAGAATAACTGGTCTTCTACTATGGTATGTGTTATGTTTAACATTTTAAGACACTGCCAAACTGTTTTCCAAAGTGGTTGACCTAATTTCCATTTCCTTCAATAGTGAAAGAGAGAGTTCTAGCTGCTTCACATCCTCAGCAACATATGGTATGATTAGTCTATTTCAGCCATTCTAGTAGGTGTGTAGTTGATTTTCATTCCCCTGGTGACTAATGACATTGTGCATCTTTTCAGGTGCTTATTTTCCATTCATAGAACTCCTTAGGTGACTTTTCAAAATTTTTGCACATTGTTTATTAGAATGTTCACATATCTTTTCTCCCATGCTGTGACTTACCTATTTTTTTTTTTTTTTTTTTTGCGATACGTGGGCCTCTCACTGTTGTGGCCTCTCCCGTTGCAGAGCACAGGCTCCAGACGCGCAGGCTCAGTGGCCATGGCTCACGGGCCCAGCCGCTCCGCGGCATGTGGGATCTTCCCAGACCGGGGCACGAACCCGTGTCCCCTGCATCGGCAGGTGGACTCTCAACCACTGAGCCACCAGGGAAGCCCAACTTACCTTTTTATTTATCAGAATCTTTGGAAAAGTGAAAGATATTAATTATGATAAGGTGCAATTTAAGGATTTTTAAATTTTAATAGCATATACTTTTTGCGTCCTATTTTTAAAAAACCTTTGCCAAACCCAAGGTGACCAAGATGTTATGCTGTGTTTTCTCCTAGAGTTTTATAGTTTTAACTCTTAAATACTTAAGTCTATGACCCATTTTGAGTTAATTTTTGTAAATGGTATAAGGTAAGAGTGGAGAGTTTTCATTTATTTTTGTTTTATTTTATTTTACATACGGGTATTTAATTGTTCCAGCATCATTGTTGAAAAGATTATTTTCACCATTGAATTGCTTTGGCACTTTTGTAAAAAGAAATCAATTGATTGTGTAGGGCCATTTCTGAATTCCTATTCTGTCCCATTGATCTATGTTTATCTTTATGTCAATATCATACTCTGATTACTTTAGCTTTGTGGTAAGTTTTGAAATCAGGTGGTATAAATCCTCCAGTTTTGCTTGTTTTTCAAGGTTTTTCTGGCTATTCTTGGCATTTTCTTACAAATTTTATGATCAGTTTATCATTTTATAAAAACTGCCTTCTGAAATTTTGATTGGAATTGACTTGAATCTATAGGTAAATTTGGAAATGATTGCCATCTTAACAATATTGAGTCTTTTGTTCTGTGAACACAGTATATCTCTCCATTTATTTAGATCTTTTAAAATGTCTCTCAACAATGTTTTACAGTTTTCAGTGTACAAATTTTGTGCATATTTTATCAACTTTATCCCTATTTCATATTTTTGATGATATTGTAAGTTGTATTGTCTTTTAATTTCCATTTTTGATTATTCATCACTAGTGTACAGAAATGTTATTTATTTTCAAAATTTAACATTGTATCCCATAACCTTGCTAAACTCACTGGTTAGTTTCAATAGCTTATTAAAAATTCTTTAGGATTTTCTACATAGACAATGAAGTCATCTATGATTAAAGAAAGTTTTATTTCTTTAAAAACAAAAACAAAAACAAAAAACTACCACAGTGTTATGAGAATAAGTAAGTGGTACCTAAAGAGTGGGCTAAGTCCTGGAAATAGAGGTCTGACTCTCATGTGAACTTGGTCTCATCTTAGTAAGCGGAGGCTGAAATTTGCTCCATGTGAACCTCCCTCCTCCTGTAATAATGCTCCTCCATCGGTAATGCTTCAAAAGCTAGAGGCCTCAAGAAAACCAATGGTCCCCAGGAGGCGTTTTGCTAAATGAGTCAGGACAAAGGGCCTGATGCAGTGGGTAGCTGAGAATGTTCACTGATTCTTCTTGGGCAACTGAAAATGAAAACTGGGAAGACTGGGAAAACTAGCAACTTGACGTTGAATCTTAAGTGATTATCAAAGAAACTTGGCTTTTGTTCATCTATGAGATCTCAACCTGAGACTCAAGTTCCGGTTTTTTCTTCCTCTTCCATTCTCTGATTTAAGAGAATGTTTTTGGTTTTGGACTCAGTCAATAAAAATTGCACAGATCATTTCACTTTCCCTGGGGTGAGTGCGAGCTGACAACACATTCTTGCCTATGCCCTCCAAATTCATTCCCCAGACCTGAAGGGACTGTTTAAAGGTCAAGTTCCCCTGCCCCACCCCAACTGCTTAACACCTGTCAATGACTTCATCACATTTAACCTAAAATTCTCACTTTTTACCTTTCCCTAAGAGACCCCACACACTGTGGTTTGGTTTCTTTCTTCATCCCTTATCCATCACCACTTTCCTTTGTTCATTGTGCTCCAACCAGACAGCCCTTAGGTTTGTCCCTCAATTGTCCTGAGCTCTTGCTTCCCTCACGATATTTGTTCCTGCTCTTTCCTCTGCTTGAGCTGCTCTTCCCCAGCTCTGGGCTTTGCTGCCTGTTCCTTCAACTTCAGATCTGTGTTCAAATGTTACCTCTCTTGTATACCTTCCTTGACAAGCCTACCTAAAGCAACCCCCCACATCTCACTAAAATGTAAGTTGCATTAGGGCAGCAACGCTGTCTCTGATATTGTGTTTCACATCTAAGATAATTCCTGACAGAAGATAAATATGTGAAGAGTAAATGGACTTCAGCTTCTATACTGCCTGTGAAATGCCATTTACACAGGAGAACAGCACAGGATGGTGTATAGGATAACTGTCCGTAAGAGATGTGGTAAAAACTTTTTTGAGAAGAACATCGTTGCTTGAGAAAAAGGAGGAAGAAGTTCAGTAACTATCAGAATAATCAGAATGATGCTAACTACTGGCCAGGCATTGTAGTAACTGTGATAGGGAAGAACCTTTGAATTCTATTACAGTAATCACTAAAGGGATGTTACCTATAAGCTTAAATTATACATAATGGCCCATTTGGGGGAACCCTGCCTTCCAGGTAATGAGCACTAAGCTAAAATACCTTTGTTTAGCTCATGGAGACATCCTGACCAGGCCCACCTGTGAATGACTGCAGGACGGGAGAAATGAACACATCCTCTTCGGAGGCTGGACGAAACCAGGAAATGTTTGGCTTTACTCCCTCCCCGTGTCGTATAAAAGAAGCCTGAATTCTAACTCAGGCAAGATGGTTCTTTGGGGCATGACTTCACCATCTTCTCGGTCTGCTGGCTTTCCGAATAAAGTTGTTATTTCTTGCCCCAACACCTCATCCCTCGATTTATTGGCCTGTCCTGCAGGGAGCGGTAGGAGCTTGGACTTGGTGACATAACCACTTTATATACCTTTGTTCACTTAACTGTGTTAACTCAAAGAATGAGATGGGCTCTTCAAATAGCAATCCTAGCTGCCAAGCAAAAGGCAGCTTTCTCTTGGGTGGACTCTAAAGATGTAGTCATTGTGTAGAACGACACTGTAGTAATTCTACTCAGCTACATCTACTTCCATCATGTTAACGTTTTCTCCTTCTGGATAGAAAAAGAAAGTGCTAGAGCCTGTAAGGAAAAGAACCCGTGTGTTGCAATGAGAAGACTTATTTTGAAAAGCACCAAGACATGGCCTTTGTCTTGTTTTGACCTTTCTTCCAAACTTTTATTTTCTTTTGAATAGGTCAGTTTGGCTCATCAGTGGCCTCATATTTCCTCTTCATGAGATGGATGTATGGAGTAAATATGGTTCTCTTTATCCTGACGTTCAGCCTTATCATGTTGCCAGAGGTAAGATTCTGACTTCCAGTTTACAAAACATGCTGAAACAAGCTTCTTCTGTAATCACTCTACTAAAAAAAAACTCTTTTCCTTAAGAGTAAGATGACTATCTAGCCACCTACGCTCTTAGAGTCATAGTATTTGTAACCAGGTTAATCTTCAAAATGGTGCCCATGAGCCGCAGGTCCTAATCCTTCTCCAAAGGGTACGTGAGCCTCCTGAAATCACAGATGAAATGTGTGTATTGTGTATGTTGAAATGAATATTTCTCTGTGGAAAGATTCATAGATTCTATCAGATTCCCAAGGTGGTCCCTGTGCACAAATATTAATTGCTCAAGAGGGAGACTTTGACATCTTGTGAGTTCATGTGAGTTCATTTATTTTGCCAAGTTTGCTTTGAAAGAGACAATTACTTAATGCAACTCAAGGCATCCAGCTTTTCTATCTGAAGAAACACAAAGTGAGCAAATTTTTCCAGGTATAAAATAAGATACCCCCCCTTCCCCGCCCCATTCCATGGGTCTCTTAAGACCAAGGTCAGTTAGGAGAGTAAAACTGATAGTGGGTCCAGATTGCAGGAGAAGACGAAGCCCTGAGCTGGGGTCAGGGGAGGGGGGAGATTCAATTAACCCAGACCAAGAAGCAACACTGAGGTTGTGGACTTACCCATAAGAAGTTAAATGACTCTGACTTCTTTGGATGCTATCATACAGAAGTTGCGAGGCTTTGTTTAACCTACAAAGGATCTTTCCAGGTACCAGTATTTCAAAGCCAATGTATTTAATACAGCATTGGCAACAGCCAAAACTAATTGTTTTGAGTGACTTTTTATCCCCATCTTTTAAAATCAAGGCCAGCTTTTATATCAAGCCTCCCCACAAGCATAATACTAATACTACTAGTGCCTTACATGCATAATGAGTCTCAGCTTTTAACAGTGCAAAGCAGTTACACTTCTTTTACTTACGAGCTTCACAACAAATTTATAAAGTAGACTATAGAAGAGTTTTTCTTTCTCCATTTAAAAAAACATGGAAACTGGATCACATAATGCTTATTAGACTTACCTAATACCACAGGGTGAGATTTTTTTTTTAAGCTGATCCGGGGCGAGGACCCATGATTCTTCTTTTGGAACAAGATTTTGCACCTTATTTTGCTAGTTTTATAATCTTTGAGCTAATTCTGGGGGTTCTATGGCTATCTGGCTCGTAGAAGACAGTAGACATAGATCAGAAGTCCTCAGACTCCTAAGGTCATAAGTAGAGTTCATCTCCTAAGCAGAACTTTTCAGGCAATGCAGCACAATGTATGTGTTCATCTATTTCAAATTAACAAGGGCTTTGTTTTTGCTCATCTCTCTAAGGAAATCTGAAACTCCATCAACAGCTACTTTGGTGCTCTTCAGTGTCAGATGCAGGATATACAGGGAATTTTATCAGCTGCATTTACTCTTTCCCTGCCACAGCATGCTGCTTCCTTGTGGAGGAAATGAAACGTTGTAGCGAATTCATTCTAACTTCAGGAAATTGCAGATGCCTAATGTGTAGTGGAGGGAGCTAATATGCGTTCTATTAGGTGTATTCCTAGAACTAGGAAGTATATTGGTTTTGGATGCTTTTTACAGGTTGTGTTAGGTGTTGAGGGGTATCCTGTTTTCTGGGCATTGATTACGACTCCAGCAAGGAAATGAACGTTGTAGCGAATTCATTCTAACTTCAGGAAATTGCAGATGCCTAATGTGTAGTGGAGGGAGCTAATATGCGTTCTATTAGGTGTATTCCTAGAACTAGGAAGTATATTGGTTTTGGATGCTTTTTACAGGTTGTGTTAGGTGTTGAGGGGTATCCTGTTTTCTGGGCATTGATTACGACTCCAGCAAATGAATAAAAGAGGTTGGGCTCCCTGCATGCTAACTTTATAGAACCAACAGAGGGCAGGATTGGTCATCTCCTGCCAGCAATGCTACATTTTTCAGGGGCCTCCACCCAGCAGCCTCACTCAGCATTCCTCTGGTGCATTTGCCCTTTTGCCCAAAGTTCCTGTGTCACTGCACAAACTGGAGACCCTGGTCTTCTCCGTTTTCTGTGGCCTCCAACTCTGGGGAAAGACAGTCTGAGTAGAACCCACCCTCTGTTCTGTTCAGTCTCAGGAAGCCAGAGGGGCTGCTGTGGAAGCCATGCAGTTTGTGTGGAGAGAAGGAGCAGGGGCTGATTTGCAGCCCTTGCCTCGTCAAGTTCTGCACCCAAATTTCCATCCACGTTCATCCTCCTCCCTTGGCCCCAGCCCCAGGGAAGGGATGTTTTCATGTCTCACAAGAAGCAGCATCTGCTTGGCCAACCGTGTGTCTGCCCTGGGGCTAGAGGGGTGGGGTTTTTTTCCAGTTTTCACCAATGCTCCTAGTATGACCCTACTCATGTCCCCGTCTCTGGCTGGCTCTGCCCTTAATCATATCTCTTTAATCTGGTAGCACAAGATCGGGGCGGTAAACCTCAATCAGTGGTGAAGCAGATATGACAGTCAGGGTATAGTCTTCTGGCCTAGTTGACACCCTCTAATGGTTTGAGTGATTCTCTTTACTCCTCTCTTCCTTGACATGAAGGAGAGACTCTCCCTCCACCCCACCCCTGAGGGGTATATTCCCATATGAAGAAGTGCTTAGCACAGTTTTCTTGAACACTATAATCCCCAAAAGGCCACCTCTCTCCTTTCCAGACCTCCTAAATGAAACCACTTTAGAGGTGGTGGTGGGTAGTTGGGCTCCAGCAAGCCCTGAGCAACGTGGTTGGCTCGACTGCTGGTGGTCTGCGGAAGTCAGAATGCAGGGTCCTTAGCATTCCCTTTGTTCTTAACTCTGGATTTCGTAGTCAATTCCCAGAAAATGGGACCCCACGTGGAGACCCACAGAGTCCCCATGAAAAAGTTTCGGAAGTGCTTTTAAACAAAACCGTTTGTGATCACATGTGTGGCTCAGACTTTGTTTCCAATTGTTAACTGCTTTCTTTGTCTCTCCATGTAGTACCTCTGGGGTTTGCCATATGGCAGTTTACCTAGGAAAACGGTTCCCAGAGCTGAAGAGGCATCAGCAGCCAACTTTGGTGTGTTGTATGACTTCAATGTAAGTGATTCCACGCAGCTGTGTTCATAAGAGGACAGATTTTTCCATATTCTGAAACTCCATGGCCTCCTCTTCTGAGGCCAGATGAAGGTATTAAGAGAGATGTCCCTGCCCGCTTTAAAAAAAAAAAAAAGAAAGAAAAAAGAAAGAAAGAAAGAAAAAGTAAATAGGGTTTGGGAATGTGATAATATGATTAAATGGGAATATAGACTATTGAATGAAGGTGAGCTCAGAGTTCAAAGACTTCACGTGAATATTATTATCTCTGACTTTGAAAAAGGACAAAGGAAGAGTTTGCAAATGTGCTTTTTGGAAAATCTTGTTGAATTCTTCAGGCTTTGATATTTCGTATTAACTTCTCACTTCCTAAACAAATCTATTTAGCATTACTGAATAGTCAATACTAAATAAAGCTAAATAGTAGGTACTAAACAATACTAAATTCTAACTTCTGTATAATATGAAAATGAGCATCACTTGATCGTGGTACCCAAATGAGCGTTATTCCATTGTAGCACTAGAATGAGTATTACACTTCGAGCTCCCCTAGGTGGGGATTATTGTCATGGCAGGGACTCATTTCTGCCCATTGAAAAATCATTTTGGAGTGTGATTCAATTCTGTGACAACCATTCAATTCCACACATTCTTTTTAAAATAGTGGCCAGATTGGAGATGTTTGGAAATGTATAGCATGAGAAAGTAGCACAGTTGGAGATTGGGGAATTAGTAACTCAGGAATTTTTAAAGAGTAGAAAATGAGAATAAAATTTTATGTAGACCGGGGAATGAAGGAAGGAGAGAGACAATAAAGTCTCCATGCTTATAGAATTAATATGCATATATTTCACAGATGTTTTGAATTCTACCCTCAACCTCTCTAAATCGTGAGCTTCCTAAAGAGCGGCTTACATCTGCTGCATCTTCTTTGAAGCCCTTAACATAATACTCAACCAACAGAGGCTTAATGAATCTTGTTAACTGGGAATCCTGAGCAAGGGGGAGGATTTGTAGAGCATCGAGATAAGAACCAAAGAAATTTATGTGAGCAGTACCAGCAAATGTAAACTTTAGGAAAGGTTCTCAGTCTCTGAGTAAACAAGGCAGCTATAGAATAAGCATAAGGCAGAGTGGCAGCCCCAACTTTGTGGCCTTTGGAATCTTAAATCACACCCGTCAGTTGGAATTTTCATTTCCAGTCAACATTTATTTATGGAATATAAACAGGCACTGGTTTTACAAAGATGAATGTGACATGGCTCTTGACCTCAAGGTAGTCATGACAGTAGAAGAAAGATACATAGGCAACTAGTATACAGTGTGTTCCACACTTAGTAAAACAATGGGAAAGAAAAAATACTGGGGAGCCCTGAGGAAGCGGTTGTCAATTTTGCTAGCGTGTCTGGGTTTCAGAGAGGAGATAGCCTCTGAGTTAGATTTTACTTCTTTTATTTCTTCTTTCTATCACTTCATCTTCCTCCATCTCTCTATCTTTATCTCTCTCTCCTTCCCCCATTTACATTTCAAATAATTTATTACTATGTACCCCCCGAAACTATTTTTATTTCTCATTCTCTTCCTCTGATTAGTTAAATAATAAGCTTCCAGTCTGGTTAATAAGAAAAAGAACTAATAATATTATTGGCATCTTCTGTTGTTTTAGTCATATCAGAGAAAGGAAGAACTAAAAATATGAACAAAAGGCCTTTTGGCTTTTAAACATATATTTTTGAAGTTTCTACACTTATAAATTTGTCAAGTAACTGAAATAAAAAGTTTTGCAAACAATGTCCATTTGAGATTTTAAAAGTATTAATAACTTGAGGAAGACAAAGAGGAAGGTGGCACTAAGAAAGCTGCTAAGGGGTGTACCAGAGGGTCTAGGAGGTGAATACAGGAGGAAACTAGGGGAAAGTTTTGGGCAGTGAGTATGCTCACCAAGATTTTATTATTGCCCTCGACAGCTCTCATGTCCAGTTTGGTGAAATACTATTTACAATGGATAGAAGAAGATGGAAACAGGAGTATCCTGTGATACTCACTTTCCTTTACAACTCTAGGCCAGCCTAGAAATTATTCTAAGACAATGAGAGATTATTAAAAGGTCAAGAAAGAGTCATTAAAGTGATATTATTCACTTACTTCTTTCTTAATTTTTCTGTGTACTGTGATCACTCGATTATTTGACATACCATAAAATAAGAGTTTTAAGAGAGTGCCCTTAGATCTTCTATCCCATGTCCCACATTATAAAGTTAGGGAAACTTTGAGTCTCAGAATCATTTTTAGGGTCTTATGGCTAATAAAAGCCTCCTAATCTAGTGTTCTTTCTATGTCTTGTATCACATCAGTAATTTTTCTGTCATAATTTCCAACATCCTTCTCACTGACAGTTTCTGGGACACAGGCTGACTCCATTTAATGCTGTATCTCACAAGGGGAGAAGGGGTTGAAGCAATTGGATCCCATTTCCACCTTTCATAATAAACATGCAATTCCTAAATTAGCTTTTCAAATAGAAAGTTTCAATAGTTACCCTTTTGCCTGAATTCTTTACTTGCTCCTTAGAACAATCACCTCATAGAGATGCCCACTCTGTATTACAAGATGATCTAAGTGGACAGCCCAGTATTTCATCTATCATAGCATCATGGAGGAAGCCATTGTCCACATATCCTTGAGATCCCTGGAAGCTCAGAATTCTGCTCTTCCAAAGAGCCCAGAGATGCCAGGAGAAAAAGACATGTTTCAGGCCCAGGGTAGAGATGACTGGTGCCTAAATGATCTAATTGGAACATGAGCTGGTTTTTTGCATCTAAGAAGATTAATGTACCAGCTTAGCTAAGCAATGCCATATAGATGCAGGTTGAAGAGAAGCAGAATCAATTTATAGGACACTGTAAAATAGATGCAAGCATGACCTCTTGTGGTAGAAGGGCCTGTAGGTTGGGAAGGATCAGAAAACCTTTGGGCTGTAGGTGGCAAGGTTGTGCAGGGGGAGCTGCTTCTCTGTTGAGTTCATATTAGAACCTTAGAACTTCTCTCTGGACCCCCTCCCCGGAAGTATCCCCTTGGAGCTCAGTGCTCTGTCACCTATAAGCACGTATCATGATTCATCCAAATTCCCTTTAACTAATAGCAGACAAGTACCATGTGATATATGCAAGGTCAGCCAGTCTTCTGGCCTCTCAAGGTCACCATTTACAAAGCACCATATTATTTATTTATTTATTTTTAATTGAATACCTAGGAATGGGTCTCACTGAACAGGAAGAAAGTATGTTTTATTAAAATAGTAAGAAATAGGGAGGTTGTCTAATGCGCATGTTATGAATCAAACTGGCAAAAGTAGTATTATTTGAAGCAGTAGAATTAGAACGAGTTTAAGCCAGTAAGAAGAGCATGTCTTTCAGATGGATGGGTAAAGAAGACGTGGCACATATATACAATGGAATATTACTCAGCCATAAGAAGAAACAAAATTGAGCTATTTGTAGTGAGGTGGATGGACCTAGAGTCTGTCATAAAGAGCGACATAAGTCAGAAAGAGAAAAACAAATACCGTATGCTAACGCATGTATATGGAATCTAAAAAAAAAAGAAAGCTACTGATGAACCTAGTGGTGAGGCAGTAATAAAGATGTAGACATAGAGAATGGACTTGAGGATGTGGGGTGGGGAGAGGGAAGCTGGGGCAAAGTGAGAGTAGCATCGACATATATACATTACCAAATGTAAAATAGTTAGCTAGTGGGAAGCAGCTGCATAGCACAGGGAGAACAGCTTGGTGCTTTGCGATAACCTAGAGAGGTGGGTTAGGGAGGGTAGGAGGGAGGCTCAAGAGGGAGGGGATATGGGGATATGTGTACACATATGGCTGATTCACTTTGTTGTACAACAGAAACTAACACAGCATTGCGAAGCAATTATACTCCAATAAAGATGTATTAAAAAAAAAAGAAGAGGATGTCTTTGTTGGCAAGCTATTTGGAGACATGAGAATGATGTAGGAATGATAAAGAGGAAGAGACTGTAGAGCTTTGGTTTCTCGTAAGGGAGAGAGGGAGGAACTGAGGTGGATTTGGAATGAGCTTGAGCTGATATCAGACAGTGAGATCATATGGGTAAAGATTTGAGTTGTGAATAAAGGGAAATGCATTTAGCTTTCCAGCTTGAGAGCATTTTGTACATTGCATATTGAGATAAATGGTGAGTCAACTTTGCCTCCCCTTTTCCCCTGGTCATCATAGATATGGGAGGTGGGGGGAAGCCCTAGAAAGGGCAGGAGAGGAGGGTTAACACCCATTCTGTGTTAAGCAGGCACATACATTAAATTTTATCTTCATGACAACCCTTTAAGAGGAAGATCAGTAATCTTTTCAGAGTTGAGGGGATTGGAACTCAGAGAGGTTAGTTTCCCAAAGACAGCACAGATAATGAAAGGAGGCATTGAAATTCAAACTAAAAGGTGGCTGACTCCAATGAAAAATTGTTTGTTGTACTCTAACATATCACTCCAAGCCTATTCCTTCTGCCCACTTTTGCCACATCTCATTCTTGAGGTCTGTCCTCAGAGGAGACTGTCACAGTCTAAAGGTTAACAAACAGCTGTTCAGTTCCTTATTTTATTGGCATCAATGGTTCTTTTAAGTAGTGATATTCTAAAGCGAGAGCATCCTCTCTCAGGTAGTCTCAGTTCTCTAAGTTCCTTCATCTCTTATTGTACCGGCCACATTTAGAAGAGATATTTTTGTGATTCACATATGGAATGATACATCTTTTCTTTAGGAATATTTCAGTTGTTCAAATACGTCCTTGTTTTCAGGGAGCTCCCCTTTTTAAAATTGAGGTAAAACTGACTTACAACATTATATTCGTTTCAGTTGTACAACGTAATGATTTGATATTTGTATATATTGCAAAATGTTCATCACAATAAGTCTAGTTGGCATCTGTTACTGTAGTGAGTGGCCTCATGAGTCTTATGGGTGAAAATGGGA